AAATGAAGGTTTGAGTTTCTTGTTCCCACCAAGGTTATTAAAATTTACGGTAGAAAGAAGTACTTTATCTCCAATTTTGAATTCAGGTTCTTTATGACTCTTATCCCATCTATTCTTATTATACTCTACAGCATCTTCAACACATTTCTTGGCATGTAAATTTGTGGAATCTAACATTTTCTTGAAATCTAGTGCTGTAGGGTGTACATGAGGTAATTTGTCATTGATGGTATCTTTGGGCATGCGTGGGATCCATCCTCTTTCAAGTATATAGGGTGCTACTTTAGTTGAGGAATGTATGCTACTATTGTAAGCTATTTCCAAGGCTGGTAGTAAGCTTACCCAGTCATGAGTATATCCATCATGATTTTTGAACTCAAATCCAAATGAACAGAATCTTCTCAGCATGTCTTCCAGGGTTTGTATCATCCTTTCAGCTAAGCCATCAGTCTGAGGGTGATAAGCTGTGGAGAAAGCTAATTTTGTTCCTAACATATCATGTAAGTTTCTCCAGAATTCAGATGTGAATTTGGGGTCTCTGTCACTAATGATTATTTTGGGAATGCCTACGTCAGCCATTAGTCTGTTCCAGAATAACATAGCTACTTCCATGGCTGTATCATCCTTATGATTAGGAATAAATTTTGCCCTCTTGGAAAATCTATCAACTATAACTAGTACTGAGTTGTAAGAGTAAGATCCTCCGGGAGGTAATCCAGTAACAAAATCCATGTTGATGATTTCCCATTTATCCGTGGGTTCAGCAATTTTCTGAAGCAGTCCAAATCTCTTGCCTGTCTGTTTGTTTGCTTTTTGACAGGTGTCACAAGATTTAATGTATTCATGAACTTGTGTTTTCCATTCAATCCACCAGGCAGTTTGTTTGACTCTTTCTACTGTTCTCTCTTCTGAAAAGTGGCCGCAATTCACATTATCATGACATTCCTGTAGAATATTTTTTATTTGTCCTTCATCACATAAGACAAGTACACTTGAGTGTTTGTGCCTGTAATACAACAAACCATCAAATAACGTGAATTTGCCTAATTTATAATGTTTGGACAGGACAGGTGGTAAACTAGCTGCCAGTTCTGGGGGACTACTGTCATTTCTCAATATTTCTACCAATTTTAGTAATTCACTATCTTGGTCATAACTTTTCTGAACTAATTCATAAAAAGCATTTTCCATGTCACATACGTGAATTCCTAAAATAGGGAATATGTCTTCATCCTCAGGATCATATGCAGGGTTATCAGGGGTATTAGGGAGTGCCCATCTGCTTAATCCATCAGCATTCATGTGTTTCTTGCCAGCTTTATGGATTATGGTCATATGACCTCTATATTGCTGAATAGCAATTTGCCATCTTAACATGTGTCTGTTGGGAGTTTTCATATTCATTAGAGTTTTAACTGCGGTACAATCAGTGATAACTACAAAGTTAGAACCTTCTAAGTAGTAATGTAATTTGTCTAGAGCCCATACCAAAGCTAAGCATTCCATTTGGCTGGCTCCATATTTCCTCTCAGATTCTTTAATTTGTCTGGATATAAAAAGGACTGGTTTTTCCATGGGTTTGTCATCTACAATAAATTCTTGATGAAGAGCAGCTCCAAGCCCATCTAAACAAGCGTCAATATAAAGTATAAATGGTTTGTCATAATCTGGTTGGGCTAGGACTGGTGCAGAAGTGAGTAATCTTTTTAATTCTTCATAATTTTTGACTCTTTCCCAGGTCATCTCATAAATGGTGTCATCTTTACACAGTGCGTATAAATTCTTGCTTACTATGGCAAATTGAGGAATATGTTGCCTATAGTAACTACAAAAGCCTAGAAATGACATCATTTCTTTCAAGTTATGAGGGAGAGCTTTGTTCATTACGGCAGCCACTTTGTTTTGATCTACAGCTAGAGTTAGGCCAGATACTATCCTACCTAGAGCTTTGAGTTCTCCATAACCAAAGTTGCACTTTTTAATGGACATTTTCAAACCAGTTTTGATGGCGGTACTCAGCACTAGATTTATTTTCTCTAAGTGGGTTTCCCAATCATTTGAATATATAATTATATCATCTATGTAGACCATCATCCAGTCTTGTCTGATAAAGGCACCAAAAATTGAGTCCATCATTCTCTGAAAATGGGAAGGGGCATTTTTGATTCCAAATGGCATTCTCAAATATTCATATATTCCCAAATGACAAATTATTCTCAAAAATTGTCTGCTGTCAGGATCAATGGGTATTTGATGAAAACCTTTAAGAACATCCATAGTTGTAATGTATTTGGCTTTGGATAAATTATGCAAGGAGTGATCAATACGTGGGATTGGGTAATAATCAGGTCTAGTGTAATTATTCAGAGCCCTGAAATCCCCAACCATTCTTGACTTCTCATTATGCCAAGCAATAATTACTGGGGTAGTAATTTCTACTTGTTCATTGTGTCCAACTTTCCTTAGCACACCTAATTCCATTAGCTCTTTAATGTGAGTTTCTAAAGCTTCTCTGGATTTAGGACTGGAAGGATACGGGGGTCTTCTCAAGATGGGAGGATAAGGTTCTTTAACAGTTAATTCCAACTTCATGTCATGCCCTTTTATGTTACCAATAGGTTCTTCAGTAGTACAAAAGGATTCTTTATTTATGAAGCAAGTTTTAAGTACCTCTAATTTCTGTTGCTCGTCTAAAATATCACTAACAGCTGCTTGAGAAAGATATTCAGCTTTGAAGGACATCATTTCTTCTGTCATTTCATCTGGCACGTCAGGGAGTTTGATATTCACATTGCAAATTTGAAATTTCCTTTTCCAATCCCCTCCAATAGTATAGAATCTGTTTTTACTTTGAAATATGTCAATTCCATACATGCAAAAAGTGTCATTTCCTAGGATCAAATAATCACATATGGCATCTTGAAGAACTACAAATTCTATGGACAGTCTTAAAGATCCTTTGGAGTGCGGAAATATTAATGGCATTACTACAATTCCTAAGGGTTTCATTGAAGAATTACAACTACTAAATTTTGCTTTGGGGACAGGCAGCAAATTATTTTTCCATTCTGGATGTATTTCATCTAAGAAGTTGCTACTGGTACACGAGCAAAAGGCTCCAATATCTAGTAAAGCTTTTACTGATTTATCTTCAAATAAAACAGAAGTGTAACTAGTTTTTCCCATAGTGTAACTCATTCCTTTTTCTGGTTTATTAGTGAGCAATTTAGCATCAGAAACATGACCAATTTTCATGGAAGAATCCCATTTCTGCGGTAAATTAGAATCTCCTTGGATGGTATTGATATGTAATTCATCACCAATATCAGCTTGGATTACCACAATTCTATGAGATTCCTCTTCTCCTGGTTCAGTGGTTATAACATCAAATTGAGATCCAGAATCATATTCACTGTCAGTCTCTTCATACACTTCCACATTATTGATCTTTTTGCGGGGATTAGGGCACTCAGGTCTTTTGTGGCCCTTTTCTCCACAGTTATAACACTCAGGTATGCTAGCTTTTCTTACTGGGGCTTCAGCTGAGAGAGCTTTTTCTTTGACGTTATCTGGTTTGATGAATTCCCTTTTTTCAGGTACATTATTTCTGACGTATTTTTTATTCAAGTTGTTCATAATAACAACTTCTTCTAATACTCCTACAAATTCAGTCAGATCAACATCCATATCTTTCAGTCTACATCTGACCAAGTGCTCTATGGTTCCTTTGCACTGAGTTAATAATCTGTCATTGATTTCCTCAGCTGTGGGGTTAGAGTAAATACATTCAATCCTTTTCTTTTGGAGCAAGCACCATTCTCCTACAGAATGTTTGATAGGATCAAAATAGTCACTCTCAAAAGCTATTCTTTTGGCGGTTTTCCATACTCTAGTACTAAATCTGGCAATGATTAATTCTTTCCAGGTTGCCCAACTTTGTAGTCCTACAGATTGACTTTTGGTAACAAACCAATCTCTTGCTATTCCTTTCATTATTCTAGGAAGCTTGGAAGTAATTGTATCATCTGGGGCATTATAAGTTCTCAGTAGATAATCTATGTACTTGATGAAACTAATGTGATCATATTCATCTTTACCGTCGAACTCAGGCCAGTCTTTGATAGGAGGCATGTATTTGTTTAGATTGGCTAATTCAGCCGCTGTATAAGGTGTGGAATTTCTTATGAAATCCGCTTCCTCATCTGATTTTCTCTGCATTCTGGGATCAGCAGTGATTGGATGAGGAGAACTGATTTTTATTGGTCGAGTACCAGATTGCATAAAAGGATTATTATACTTAGGTTCTTCAGATGGGACGGGTACAGGATCCTCTTCTTTTTTGTGATAGGTAAGATGGGGGGCTCCTTCTTTTCCTTTTACCAAGTGTTGAAGATCCCCTTCTGGTAGGGTCTTACTTCTATAGTCGTGAAGAGTGGGGCTCGCTTCAGAGAAAACCAGGTTTTCATAGCGCTCTTTGAAAGATTTGAACTCTTCTTTTATTGAATTCTGTTGCGTTATGAGTTCGTTACTCAAATTTTTAAATCTTTCTTCGCTCTGAAGATTCTGTTGAATTAATAAATTCTTTAGTTCCGAGATTTGAAAATCTAACTTCGTTCTTTCTATAATACTGTCCTGTTTTATAGTCGATAGAATGTAATCAGCGCTGGAATTATGCAACGCGGCTGAGTTCCTTGAGAACTGGGCTATCTCAGTGATAGTCGCTTTATTATCTCGAGCATTTTCTCTCAAGCTCTCAACGTCTTTTTGGACTACAGTAAGTAACTCACTGTGCTTACTAGTCATCTCAATGGGGAGCGGTTTCTCTAACAGTTTGATCATTTGATAGACTTTGGAATCAACATTTTCTTTAATTTTCTTAGTGGAATTATCAAGGCTATGTACAACTGTTTTTAGATTACTCTCGCTATTGCTATCTAAAGTGGAAAGATTAGAATTTATGGACTCTAGCGAATTCAATATAGCAGTAATGATAACAGGACTTATTGCATGTTCTGGTATAGACCGGCGGCTATTTGAAGAAGCTCCGTCGCTTTTCTCCACTTGGCTGGATCGGCGAAGTTGATTGAACTGGAACTCTGTCTTTTTCCTGGTTCGTTCTTCTTGAACTTCATTGTTTGTTTCTTGGGAGGAGCGGGGAAGTGAATTTTTTTCTCGTCCCAAGGGTTCCATCCCTTCACATAACTTTCTATTTCCTCGTTGTTTATAAGCTTCTGGAGAGTCTTCTGACTCTCCTGAGCTTCGGTCAATAAGGCTCTGAGTATAGGAGTAGGGCCTTCTCGAGTAGCTACTTGACATCTTTTCCAGAGCGATACGTGCTCTTTCACCCGGAGTCTGATCTGTTCTTCTTTGGAAAGAACTCGGATCTCCGGAGTTGAAGGGCGTGTTGGGGTAGCTTCTGACGATGTGGATTCTATCTCGTCTACGTCCATAGGCGTCTCGGTCTCCGTACTCGGAAGAAGGTCTTCGTTCTTCTTCGACTTCTCTTTGACTACCGTTGCAGTCTCTTTGCGCACCAGTGTGGTCATCTGCAAGTTTTCGACTCGAGCCCGTAGCTCCTTTGCCGCCACGAGGTCTTGTCGGAGCTGGGAGGGGGCTTCGTAGTTCGGGACGATTTGACCTAGTCATTTTGGTCATCTCGTCAGTGATCGAAGAGATTTAAAACAAGGCGAAAAAGATATCAGGATATACTGACTAGGGGCAGTCTGATCACTATCGCCGTTGTCGGTGTCGACTGAGGGGGTAGGACTCGATCTTTCGGTTCTTATCCTTCCTACTTCGAATGTGGACACTGGTTTAGGAACAGGTTTTTAGTTGTTTTTCCTTTTTAGAAAGAAAGAAAGAAGATTATGAAGATAGAGAGCGGGCAAACTTTTCTCTTGGTATCTTTTTTGATGTAGAATCTTGTTCTTCGCTCTGATTTCTCTAAGGAAATTTCGGAAGTTGATCTGTTCTTCTAAGTCTTCTTCTTGATGTATGTGGGCGTGGTACGTAGCGAGAAGAAGTTGTTCTTCTTTTGTTAGTCTTTCCCAAGGAGTAGGTTGGTAGTTCCGCTCCGATTCTTCTTTACGCAATCTAAGGATGATAAGATAACGCTGAATTAACTCGGCGTTCTCTTGCAGATTCACTAAAAGGAGATAAAAAAGATGTTTGCGGTTTTTGTTTAGGAATTTTTTGTTTTAAGGATAAGAATCAGAGAGAGAGACGGTAAAAAATTGAGATGTATATGTTTTTATAGGTTTGGTTTTTGTTAGAAAAAAATTGTATATGTTTTTATTTTATTTTTATTTTTATTTTTTTCTGTAGTAATGAAAAGGATGACCGTAAAAAAAGGTAATTTTTTATGGGTTTGATTAATTTTGTGAGAAGAAATTAGGAATAAATTCCAGGTGGCTTATTTTATTAAAAGGGAGCTTTTAATAAAATTTTCCCGGCCAGACCCCCAATTGTCAGCCTATGTGATGCCAAGACACGTGTCCTCTAGCTACACAAGGTGCAAAAAGTAAGAGTTTTTATGGCAAAAACTCTGGGATAGAACTGGTACAGGTAATTCAAAAGAATTACGTGGAATTTATGGATTAAATCCAAAAAGTGGCCAATTTATATTAATAAAATTAATATAGATTAAACCAAAGGGGCCTGATAAATCAGGGGTGGTTTAATCCCTCTAAGGTATCGTGCAAAAAGCAGAGGATTTAGGTACCTGATACACTGGGGCCTGTAGCAGGTGTGGTTTAAATCCCAGGAGATAAATTTTAGGGGAAAATCTTCAAGAAAGGGTTATTACTTACTAGTAATAATCCAAAGGGGTCTTGAGGATCTTCTTAGTAGAAACTGGACAGTTGGGAGCGCTCAGAATGGTTGATTTTGGGTGCTGGGAGATAACTGGGGAGTTTCTTGAGGGTTCTTGAGGCTTAATAACAGCAATTATAGTAGTAACTAGGCTAATTACAAGTGTAGGGGACTTGTAAAGGGTAAGTAAATTTCTATAAGGTATTCTAAAGCTGGGGGATCATTATTTGGGCGGTCAGAAGGCCCTTTAAGTACCTGTGGAAGGCCTCAGGGGTTGCCCAGGGGAGCTTAGTAGGACTTGGGGGCGCTTTTTGGCCCATTTTGGCCCACATGGTGATGTAACCAGGGCTGGAACCTTGGGGATAATATTCCAGAAGCTCCAAGGGGCCATGCACGAAATTATTACAGCCAAGAATTTCCCATGGGGACCTGTGGATAGGGGCTACTCTGTTACGTGGAGCAGGTTCCTTGGAAATGGGCCACAGAATATTCCAGAGGTGTCTTCTGAGGCTTGCTACACGTGTTACCCATTGGAATATGGTTACTGTAGTATTTTCATGGATATTCTAGCTTGTTCACATTCTTATTACACGTGTGGAGGCTTTGTTGTCACGTGCAATGGGGATTCTGGGGCTTTTGTGGCCCAATCCTTGGATACTGGTGCGCAGCATGACTACGTGGCGCGTGGCTTGACGACTCATCATCTAAATTGTGCTCAAACCGTGCACGACTCAATTCTGAGACTGATTGAGTATATGCATATGCATATGCAGAGGAGTCACAGTACCCGTGATATGGGGGTACCTGTTAATTATTCATGCATGTATTACAAGGTGAAGGAGTTATAATTTGGGGTACCTTTGGCTGAGGTACCCTAGGTTAAATTGTATGCTGATTCAGAATCTGCAATAATATTTAACGTTTTGTTTATACTTTTTAAGTTATTAATTTATTTTTATGTATTTTTTATCTTATTTACATAAGTAATATTGCTTCTTTTACTTATGTAATATTTTTACTTTATACTTAGATTTTTTATGTAATTTATTATTTTATTTGCTATGACAGGTTGTCTCTGCCATAGTAGCAAGCTGACAGCTTTAAAGCTCAGCTGGAAATATAACTATACTATTTTGAATTGGAATTGTGGGTGAAGATCCTAAGATTTATCTTCAACAGTTTTCTGAATCAAGTTTCTTCTTGGGACTCATGAACAGAATAGGTTGATTAAATCAATCAATTTTAGCAGAATAGGTTGATTAAATCAATCAATTGTTTGCTTTTGTGCAAATTGCTGAGGTATTAATCACAAAATTTGCCCAAGGGATGAGTATGATGTAGCAATTGCTTACTCCAAACAGTCTGGCACAATTCATCACCAAAAAGAAAAGAAAAAAAAACAAGGTGATCTGTCATCTGTAACCTATTGGAGGTGGGTTTTCATCTTCTTCAACCCCAAAGGAGATAAGCTACAAGCATTCGGATTTTATCAATTTATTTGTAGCCTTTACACAATTATAATCAGCTAGTTCACAAGAACATTAAAAGAAACTTGGTGATTTAGATTCTTATGATATTGTTTTGATTAAATTGCATTAAAGATACGCTACAGGAAGTCTGATTGGATCGATCAATCCGTTGGTTTCTTGTGATTCTAATAAGCTAACAATCGTGTAAATCGGTTCAGTAACAAGAAAGAAGCAATAAGATTTAACTTGTTGTAGTTTTGTTGATTAAACACAAGGTAGTTGGTATGGAGGATTTCTGATTGCACTGAACGATCAGTCTCTGTCATATGAATCCAATGAGCTAACAATCAAGAAGGTCAAATAAGAACCGAGGAAATTATCTATGTATCTATGATTTTGTCAATCTGGCTTGCTCCAGAGGTTTTTTGGAGCTGGTTCCCTACTTTCTGTTCCAGTCGCTGAGTGATTCTGCCAAGCTCTCTCGAAAGGCAAGAATTTACTGCATCTTCACTTAAAAAATATACTATGTTGTAGAAAAGGTTACTCTATCAGAAACTGAGTGAGCATGAACAGAGGTTAAGGTTGTCTTGATACCTACAGGATTAATCTTCAAAGCTGATCGCTATTGGATCTAAGAGTTCAACTTGTAAGCAGAGTGTTTTCAAAGAGAGCGGTCTCTGAAGTCAGAGAGAAGTTTTTTAAAAAAAAATCAATTGAGAGGATATATGCCTTTAAAATGTTACGATCTCTTCTGTTTGTTAGCAACTCTCTCTTAACAGTCCATTGTCTAATTGATGGTAAGCTCCTTATCACAGGAAACGAATGGAAGGACTACAGCGCTTACCCTATTTTTAGTTTTTGAAGATATTTTGAAGTAAAGGGATAAAAAGAAGTTCATTCCCTTCAAGTCTAATAAGATTTTGGCTCAAGGTAGGGATTCAAAAGGAACCCTGTAAACTTAAATGATCAAGCGATCATGTGGGTAGCATCAGGTAATCAAGAGCAAGAAAGGGCAAAGAGGCAATGAAAAAAAAACTTTGCTCTTGAAGAGGATGGTCTAGTGCAATAAGATTAATCTATCTTTGTCAAATGTGTGCATATAGATAGAGGAAGGATCTTTTTGAATGATGGAAAGATGAGGGCGAGCGCTTTGCAATGGAAATTAGAGAGTTTTCTAAAAGGAAATAAGGATGAGAAAAGGTAACTGTAATTTTCTTTTTTCGAGGTTGTCCTTTTACTTTTTTCTTTTCAGAAGGAAGGGGAGTGACAGTAGGAGTCCACTCAGGGAAGCGAATCAGGCTTTCATTGCACTGTACTGTCCTTTTCTTTTTCCTTTTCTGTTTGTTGGTTTCAGATAGACTCAAAGTAGCTATCGGAGTCCGATCGGTCGACAAAATGATGTCACCGTCTCTGGGAAGAACTAGGGTATGTTTGTCTAGTAAATCAACGTTGGCTTCTACTTCGGACGGGATTGATAACAAGTCCGACAAAGGAGAAGGAGAATTTGGCGGTGTGTCGGGTATCACACGTCAGCTAGTCTTAAATTTGTGGAGTTCGCGATGGTAGTATTGGTGGATAACACTTGTTCCTTTTTGAGGATAGCTTTTGGAGTAAACAGAGAGTGAAAGCTTGTGTGTGTGGGTGTTTTATATATGGACAGAGTTGAGAAAAACTTTTTAGGCGAGCGCTCTTTGATTGACCAGCGAAAGTGCTTCAGATCTGTTTGCCAGAGCCGCCACGTTTGGCTAGGCAAGGAGGGGCTCGAGGTCGGAAAAGGATTGAGCAAGCTCAAGGACGTGTTGGAATTGATTGAGTAGTGGATGCTATCCTCGGCCGACTTACCAACTCACACAGTGGAGATGAGTGAAGAACGGGCATTGACCATAGGTCTGGTTGAAATCGATCAACAAGATCCTGAGATCATCAAGAAATTGTCTAGGAGGGGAAATGGGTTTTCTTCTTCGCGAGCAATGGAAGTAGTTTTGGTCAATTGAAGAGCAAGAGAAATGAAAAAATCAGATTTGGTTAACACCTCTCCTCCTGTCTGTTTGGGAGTCTAGTTGTCAGGCAAGATAGAAAAGGGATTTGGCAAGCACTTGACTATGAGGTTTAAGAATTTCGACGAGCGCTTTGCGATGGAAATTGGAAAAAGGCAAGTGATTCAAGTGATTCATGTTGTAACCCAGTAACTGGGTTACCCTCAGACTCACTAGACACCGGCTCAGAGCTACTGTGTCTGTTTTGTTCTAAGAATTATCATCATTATTCACAAAACCACAACAGGTCATGAGCCCTTATCTCTCATAAATCATTACCCAGCGTAGGGCGACTCCTTCTTACTTATCTCTCATAAATCATTACCCAGCGTAGGGCGATTTTTTTTTTCCTTATCCCTCAATAATTTTTCATCAAGTATCCACCCAGCGTAGGGCCGAATCGGAAGCCAGAGCTTAGCTACCTCGTCCCGATACTTAGGTACCTAGGGGGCTGACGTTCGTACAAGCGAGACTATAACAAAGTGTTGAGGTTTCTTCATATCGCTGAACACCCTTCTTTTCTTCCTCTATCGTTCCTCATCCTAAAAACAATTTTTTTTTCTTCCTTTTTCTACGACCTCATCGAACCCAACTTATCTCTAAAATATCCTCAATTTTTTTTTTTTCCCCTTCCGTTTTTCCTTCAATTTTTTCCCCTTGTTCCTTTTACAAATCTTCAACCTTCTCCTCTTCCTTCTTCCGTTTTTCTTATCTTTATCCTCTCCCCGTCAACCGGTCTACACACCATCTTTATCATCTTCTCGCCGACCTAACCATCATGTCGTCTCCGATCCGCAATACCCAATCGCCACCCCAGCACAACAACCCTTGGCAGCACGAGGCCCCGCACATGAATCGTCCCGATGCTTTCTCAGCGAACGCGAACATCAGGACTCACTCTAGACAACATGATTCGAGGAGTCGTGGGCGTCAAACACCGCGCCAGGAGGATGAAAGGCGACCCGCGGAAGATGATGACGGCGATGTACCGATGTACACGGCCAACGAAGTAAGCCGTTTTTTGGCGGAGGCGTCGGTTCCAGCGTTGTACCAAGGAAAAACCCCCGGTCAGATAGTTTCCAACGTCGTTTCAAGGATGTCGAACTCGGATAAACTGCAGCCGAGTGGGTCCAACTTCGCGGTCTGGGAGTTGATGATGCGTGAACGAGCCCTGGAGATATTTGGTGTACCAACCTGGTACTCAAAACTCTGCAATGACCCGATTCAAGAGCAAATCGGCCGATCCCTTCTCTTGGCAACTGTCGATAGCAACATGCACCGAAGCATCCTTCGTCAGTCGAACTGCTTCCAAATGTTCCAATACCTCAACTCGCGTTTTTTCACGGTCACCAGGGCAGAACAAATGACATGCTGGGACCGTCTGACCAACTTCAAAATGAGCGACTATTCAAACAGCGCCGAAGCCGTCTCTAAACTCTTCGAAATATTGGACGACTTCAGCAGCTTTGGGATCGACCTCAACCGTGAGACGATAGGAGGTATGGCACTTCAAGCCTCTTTGGAAGCGGGCTCAGAATGGCGTCGGGAGGTAGATCGTCGTGTCGAGCAGGACCTGGGTGGATCGAGCCGAACTCTATCCAAAAAGGCAGTTACGCCCGACCAAATCCTGAAGCATATTGACATCGTCAAACGCCAAACAGATCTCGGTTCATCTAAATCATCTTTCTCGGCGATGGTTCCTCAAGCTCATCAAGCGTCTGCAGCTGACCAGTCGGATCAAGCGAAGGAGTACTACGACCCGGCAGCCTGGCCTGCGGCTCCACCTGTCCAGGGCTTAGTGACGTATGGCCTCCAGTGCTGGAACTGTCGCTCGCCGGACCATCTGCTGAGCAAGTGCAAGCTACCCAGACGTCGAGACTTTGATCGACCCCCTCTGCCGCCCGGGCAGCCGCGCCGTCAATGGCAGACGGGTCCACCGACCCGTACAAACAATCCTCCGATTGTTGCACCTGGCAACTTCCAGGCGTGGTATCCAATCATGACCCCGCCGGGGTATACCAATCGAGGGTATCAGACGCAAGGTTCACCGTACGCGCCGCCGATGGCCAACCCTACGGGCGGGCAACAGACCAGAAGGCCTGATTTGTACTGACCGGATAACCGCCCACGTCCTTCCCTTCCCGCCAACCAACGCCCGCCTGCCCCATCCACTGCCAACTCCACCGAGGTATCTGATGTTCAGGAGCAGATCAACCAACCGGATGGGCCAGCAGACTACGGCAATTACTCGCCGCAATCCTTTCAGGAACCGACCTCAAGGATGATCGAAATAGGATCGTTCGATGAGGGGCTAGAGCAAGGTCTAGTGCCGGGTTTCAGTCAACTGACAGTCGGCGAGGGGGATGAACCTGTGGTCGACACTGGCGCAACACACCACTTGACTGGCAACAGGTACGCCTTGAATAACTTCCGTCTCTTCTCGAACCCCATCCCTCTCCGAGTAGCCACTAAGAGTGGTGGTTCCTTTATCACAGGGGCTGGGGACCTATGTTTTCCGACCCGCAATGGGCAAATCGCAACTCTTAAAGGAGTCCTTTTCTGTGAGCTAGCTTCGTCAACGCTTATATCGTTAGCGGCTCTGCGGAAAGCTGATTCCAGGTTTCTCTACAATCATGTAGTTGACTCCTTCGACATATTTTCGCCTAGCTGGGAATTGTTATTCTCTTGTCCGTTTCGACGGGAAACCAACAAATGGTGCTTTCCTCACCCGATACCACCTGCACCATCAGGATGTCCCTCTTCTTCTCCACTGTCTCTTTCATTGCCTGCTTCCCATGCTCCTACACAATCTACTCATCTTTTCTCCTCTGCCAATCATTCTGTTTCCTCTATGCCTTTGTCTCCTAAGGATCTTGATATGTGCAATGAAACTACTAACATTGAATATTACCAAGCCAAAAGCAGAATCCGTAACCCAGGTACTCAACCTAATCCTGATGAGCTTTTTGAGTCCCCACTTGAGGTATCACCAAGTTTCACATGGCGCCCAGAGGATCTAACCAAGGACGAGGCAACTCTTCTGCTTTGGCACAGGATTTTTGGCCATGCAAGTTTGAGAGTCATCCAAAAATTGGTCAATCAGAAGGCAGCGTTTGGACTACCGGAAAAGATGCCACCCGGCCAACTACGCTGCCCAGTCTGTGCTATTCACAAAGGCAACAGATCATCTTCACTTGGCAGAACAAACCGGTCAGTAAAACCATTAGAAGTACTCAATGTTGATCTTATGGGGCCTTTTCCAATAGAGACTTACCACAAAGGCAAATATGTACTGACAATAAAAGACCTGGGATCCGGCTATAATGAGGTTAAGATTATGCCGGTTAAATCAGATGCTAACAAACATATTATAGACACTATCAACAGGTTGGAAAAACAGACAGGTTTAAGCGTGAAGGTTCTACGGAGTGACAATGGGGGAGAATTTGCAAACAAAGTCCTGGCTAATTTTCTGACTTCAAAGGGGATAAGAGCGGAAAGGAGTTTACCGTACCATCATTACCAGAACGGGGTCGTGGAACGTTTCAACAGGACTGTTTCGGAAATGGGAAGGACAGTTTTAGGCGATAGCAAACTACCTCAACGTTTCTGGGGTTTTGCCTTTGAATGGGCATCGTGGACACTCAATCGACTCCCAAACAAGACGAGCGGCGAAAAAACACCGTACGAGGCAATGTTTGGTCGAAAGCCACAAGTAGATAAAGCTAGGATATTTGGTAGTATTGCTTACGTCTTACAACCGCCAGAGACGAGAAACAAACTGGCAGATAGAGCTTTTCCGGCGCATGTGATTTCACACTTGGACGAAAGTAAAGGATGGATGTTTTGGGTGTCATCTACTAACAGTCTTGTTTGCTCGGCTTGGGACAATTTTGAAGACATGCCGGGGGCTCCAATGATTAAAATGGAACATCTGACTGATAAACCAAAGACCCTACTGACAACTTATCCTTCAAGCAATTTGATTTCTCTAGGGGACTTCTCACATGAGATTGCTTTTGAACAGGAGGAACGGTTAGTGGACGACATCATACTCAACTGCGGCTTTTACTCGGTGGGGGTTCCAAAAACCTACAAGCAGGCGTTGAAGTCACCAGACTGGGAAAAGTGGAAAAAGGCGGTTGAAGAGGAACTTAGCAACCTGGACAGGAAACAGGTTTGGGCGGTTAAGCTGTTGGACTCGCCAAAACCGGAATTGGACGGTCGATGGGTATTTGCCATCAAGACCGCGGCAGATGGACAAATCACTAGGTACAAGGCTAGATACGTTGCAAAAGGTTTTACTCAGAAAGAAGGCATTGATTTCAAGAAGACGTTTGCACCTACCGCGACGTTTATGTCCATGAGACTAGTACTGACCTTAGCAGCAGCGTACAAGTGGCCTGTTCATTCCTTTGACTTTGTAGCAGCTTATCTCAACTCCGATATCGACAAGGAGATATGGATCAAACCACCCAAAGGATTGGATATTGGCCCGGGAAAAGGTCTGCGACTCAAGAAGGCACTTTATGGGACTCGACAAGCGGCTAGATGTTGGTGGCTCCACTTAAAACATATTCTACAGGGTCTGGGATACTCAGCAAGCCATTACGACACGAGCCTTTATTTCCTGCAGGATCCAAAGAAAACTGGGGTGATATGGATACATGTTGATGATGGTATTGTAACTGGTGACTCCGTAGAAATCCTCAAACAACTGGAGACGTCTCTCGAGGGCAAACTCGAGATCAAGTGGAGCAATAGTCTGGACTCCATTGTTGGTGTGGACATTACAAGAACGGCTGACGCTTTTATATTGAGTCAAAAGAAATTGGTATCTGATATTCTAGATTCACACTGGGATGGCTTTACCACCGCGAAGACACCACTACCATCGAATCTTGACATAAACTCTGAGCAGGAGGGCGACCCTACATCTTCGACTGCTTATCTGTCGATAGTTATGTCACTGAGTTATGTGGCTGTAGGTACCAGACCTGACCTCTCTTTTGCAGTGAACTTTCTAGCTCGTTTTTCAGCATCACCTGGGCCGTCCCATTGGAAAGGTGTCCGACACCTGATCAACTACCTTGCTCATTCGAGGGATCAAGTGTTGGTACTGAGACCTAAAATGGCCGAGAAACCACTTAAATGTTACTGTGACGCGTCATGGGGTGGGGAACATGCTAAATCCACTTATGGAGTTTTTGTGACGTTTTTAGGTTGCCCTATCCTATGGTCCTCAAGGAGATTGGCAACTGTGGCGGCATCAACCTGTGAAGCAGAATATATGGCACTGGGCATTGCTACACGGCAAGTCCTGTGGGTAAGGCATCTTCTGAAGGATATACTAAAAATTGACTTTCAGGGGAATCTGTTCTGTGATAATCAATCGGCAGTGAAAATCAGTACTGATGACTCGTCAAATAAAAGAGCGCGGCATACTGATCGCGAGTTTCACATCACTAATCAAGCTCTTTTTGAGAAGAAGACAGATTTAACTTGGGTACCCACGAAGGAACAGCTGGCGGACATTCTCACAAAATCCTTGACTAGGGAGCCCTTTGAGCGCCTAAGGCACCACCTCCTTGGGTCCTAGCAGGGAAGAGACAATTTTTTTTATTAATTCCTTTTCCTCTTATTGATGTTTTGTGCTCTCCTATCTTCTTTGTGTTTTTTTTTTTCTTCTTTCTTCTTTTTTACTTTTCAACTTCTCAACTTATTAGGACAAATATTGTGTATAGTAGGTCCAGTGTCTAGGTGAGGGGGGGGTGTTGTAACCCAGTAACTGGGTTACCCTCAGACTCACTAGACACCGGCTCAGAGCTACTGTGTCTGTTTTGTTCTAAGAATTATCATCATTATTCACAAAACCACAACAATTCACAATGGATTCTTTTTATAGGAATAGAGTTTGTGAAAAGCTTTTTAGTCAAGCGCTCAGCGATAGTAGATGAAAAAAAAGGTGAGCGCTTCGCGATGGAATTTAGAGAAGTGGGTTTTTAAAAATATGAGTATTTTGAATTTTGTTTTTGTTCTGAGTCTTGGAAAGAAAGAAAAAGAGTTCGAGAAGTTTTCTCTTTTTTTTATCTTTGAAAAAAAGAAAGAAAGTCTTATGATAGTTCTTTTTTTTATTATAATTTGAGGCCTGAGAAATGATGATTAAAGTTGAGTGTATGATTATGAGAGGTCTGTGGAATATAAATTTCCCGATGAGGCCCCCAATTGTGAGCCTGGGTCTCAAAAGTGACAACAGGACACAAGGTATGGGGGGCAATTCTAGATGTATTTCAAGGGGATAAAGAAATACAACTAGAATAAGAGAAAGGGAGAGAGAAAGGAAGAGAAAAGAAATTAATAATCATTTAATTGTTTGTTTATTTTATGATCAAGTTTTAATGCAGTCTTACTTTCCTTAGAGGATGGCTGTTATTAAGCGGAATTAATCTACGCCTCCTAATCAAATGAAACTGAAAAGGGTACCTGGTATTGATATGTCAATCCGGCCACTATTTTTTAGATCTAAGATCAAGGGTCTTTAAAGGGAAACCTATGTGGTTTTTAGCTATACCACCAAACAGAGAATGAAGATGACTTGATTTGATATGATGATGTTTGAGGCAGAGGTTTAGTAGAAACAGAATGGAGTAATCATTCAGAGAGACAAAGAAGAAACTTAGCAGAAAGATGCAAGCTGAACTTGAAGGACTGACTTACATATTGGTGATCCTGACACAATGAGTGGGAAGATTCCAATAGGTGAGGGACTCCTAACGATAACACAGCGATGACATGGCGGTGAATCCAAGTTGAGGTTTGCTGATTTCTGGTCTGAGTTGGTTCTGGGTTGGTCTGAAGCTTGAAGATCCTGAAAATGCGAACTCAGTATCCCCTGAGAGAATTTTCAGAGTTGGATTACATAATCACAACATGTACATGTGGTAGAGGGTTGGAATTCCAACTTGGTTGATATTTCACAAGGTAGGGTGAAATATTACAAAGTCTATGAAGGAGAAGAGTAGTGTAAAAGTGTGTAGTGGTGACTAAGGTTGAAATCACATGAGGAATTCATTTCTGAGGTCAGAATGTAATAAAATCTTGAGATAAAAAGGT